TATTCTGGGCAATTTTAATGATTCTCTGTAGAGCATTTTTGTCCACTACAGAGCTGCTCCCATACCATGCAAGAATGCCGTATGTCAGGACACTCTCAATGGTGCAGCGATAGTAGGGCAGATGTTTTTGGCAAAAGCTGTAGAAAATGACTTTTTCTGTTTGCAGGCTACGCCGTATACAGTAAAATGTAATTAGGAGAGGTCTTTCATTATGTTGAATTGGGGTAGCCTAACTTAACGTTTTTTGCCTAAATCACTCAAGGCATCTTCTAACACAGGGATGGCTAACCTTTTCCAGACCGAGTGCCCAAAGCATGTTCATGCATGCACAATGGGCGTGCATGCCCCTGAACCCCCCAAATGCAATGTGCATGCACCCCCGTTCATGTGCCCCATCCTCTGTGCATCTGCACGTGCCCCCCGCTTGCCCCCACACATGCGCATCCTGCATGCGCCCTGCACATGCGCAGCAGAGACCCAAACACCATCTGGCTGGCGGGAGGCGCATGCCCATGTGCAGCAGAGCTGAACTAGGGCAACAGCTCACGTGCCATCAGAGAGGGTGCTGTGTGCCACCTCTGGCACACGGGCCATAGGTTCGCCATCATGGGTCTAACAGACGTTCTTTTGTGTATTTGGGGGAATCTTGGCAAGTCCTGGGTACACTTATCTCTTGCTGACCTCGTTCCTGTCTGAGAGTAGACAATGAAAGTACAGTTCAGTCTTGTCGTATTTGTACAGGCGGTCCTTGTTTCCTACAGATTAGGAGGAGAGGAGCTGCTAAAATTGGCCAGAAGCTTTGGAACGGGCGAAAGCGATTGGCTAAAATAATTCGTACGGGCGAAAGAATAGTTAAAAGAACGTTGGAAGAATTTACCAGGAAATTATTTTTCCCCTACGGCAGCACAAAAGGATTTGTTGTTTTCATCTTCCTTTTTTCAAAAAAAAAAATAAAATGTGGAATTCCCCCCCCCCCCTTCACTTTCCAGTCTTATCTACAACATGGGATTTTTTTTTGCAAGTTTTTCATCTGAATGTCAATCAGGAATGCATCTGCATGCATTTTTTTTTTAAGCAAGTTCTGTCCTAGGGAGATAATTCCAAATGCATCCTCACTGGTGGGTTATGGTGACAGGTAGTCCCAGACTTAGGATCATAATTGAGTCCGGAATTACGGTCATAAATTGTGCCAGTCATTAAGTGTCAGACCCCAAGGGACCACACCCAATTTTATGACTTTTTGGGTTTGTTTTTTTATGGTGCCATTAAGCGAATCACGATGGTCATTAAATGAATGGGATCATTAAGGAAACCCATTGTCTGCAACGGGCATTTTTTTTGCAAAAACAGGAAATAAATGTCAAAGTGAATGTTCCGATTAAAAAAACAGTTGTAAATTGTTGTCACGGGACTGCGGGACAGTGCCAAAAGCCAGTTGCTGGGCACCCAAAATATGATCCCATGACTGCTTGGGGAAGGGAGGAAGGAGCCATCGTGAATTGATAGATAGATGATAGATAGATAGATAGATAGATAGATAGATAGATAGATAGATAGAGAGATAGATAGATAGATAGATAGATAGATAGATCTATATATATTAGTGAGAGAGAGTGAGAGCTATCTATATTAGAATAGATTACAAGATATATAGAGATAGAGATAGATAGATTTATATATATTAGAGAGAGAGATCTATATATATTAGATAGAATAGATTACAGGATAGGTGATAGATAGATAGATAGATGGATGGATGGATGGATGGATGGATGGATGGATGGATGGATAGATAGATAGATAGATAGATAGATAGATAGATAGATAGATAGATAGATGATAGATAGATACATACATACATAGATACATAGATACATAGATGATAGATAATAGATAAGATAAGATAGATAAGATAGATGAAATATATACTGTCTGGATCAATTCGTTTACATTTCAGTCTCCTAATTTCCACCTCTGTTGTCCAACATTGATAAAATAAGTCCCAAGTTTCAAAAGTATTCTGTGTCTTCTTTTATCTTCGGTGTTAATCTGTCCATTTCCGCACAGTCCAATATTTTTTTTAATTACATTTTCTTCCGTAGGTGTTTCCTCCCTTTTCCAATGTTGCGCAAATTCAGTTCTTTGCCGCTGTTCAAACATGCAATATCAAATCTATAAATTCTCTTTTGTCATATATTTTACTGGTATTATCATGCCTAACAAAGATAGTTCTGGCTTAAAAACTATATGCCACCTTAACATTTTTTTTCTTAACCACATACCGTATTTTTTGGAGTATAAAACGCACCTTTTTCCCCCAAAAAAGAGGGTGAAAATCTGGGTGCGTCTTATACTCCGAATGTAGCCCCACCCAGCTTCTCAAACGGAGGTTTCAGAGGCTGAAAAAAGCATCAGAAATGAAATGTCAGAAAAAAAGCCTCCAAACAGAGCTTCAGAGGCTTTTTTTCTGAAGCTCTGTTTCGGAGGCTTTCAGAGGCAGGAAAAAAAGTTTTTTCTGAAACAGAGTTTCAGAAGTTTCAGAGGCAGAAAAAAAAGCAAAAAAAAAGCAAGGCACAGAGCTCACAACCAAGGAACCTGTTGCTAAAATTCACCTCTGGGAACAGCTGATTGGGGGCATTCCGGGAAGCTGATCCACCCGCCAATCAGCTTTTTTCTTATTTTTCACTCCAAAAACTAAGGTGCATCTTATACTCCGAAAAATACGGTATGCATTTTCGCCCCAAAATCTTTTTTTGCCATCGTGAATTTTGATCCCGGGGTTGTAAGTAGCCTGGGGGAGGTCCATCAGTTGAGGATTAACCTGTAGTTTGTTCCTTTGCTATCTCAACCAAGACCTCCACCTCGTGGATATAGTCACAAGTTAATGATTAAAAAGTGATGTTTAAATTGTCATGGATCACAGCCTTCTGGAGGAATTTATTTGTCCTTACCAGCTGAACAAGGACCAAGGTGCCCTTGGATTGAAACCTGGCTAAACCAGCTGCCACGGGTAGTTTATGGAGCCATTCCTAGCTAATGACTTGGTTTTTACTCTCACTGCGAGCTGCTGTCATTGCATTTTCACCAAACTTAACTCTCTGGGTGGGAATTCTCCCCCCCTAAAAAATGCTATGTTGACTATAGAGCAAAACTGGGTAACAGATTAACAGAATTGGAAGGGACCTTATAGGTCATCTAGTCTAACCCCCTGCTCAGCAGGAGACCCTATACCATTTCTGACAAATGGCAGTCCAATCTCTTCTTGAAAGCCTCCAGTGATGATGAAGCTCCCACAACTTCCGAAGGCAACTTCTGTTCCATGGGTTGATTGCTCTCACTGTCAGAAAATTTCTCCTCATTTCCAGGTTGAATCTCTCCCTGGTCAGTTTCCATCCATTATTCCTTGTCTGCCCTTCAGGTGCTTTGGAGAATAGTTTGACCCCCCTCCTCTCTGTGGCAGCCCCTCAAATATTGGAAGACAGTTATCCTGTCTCCCCTGGTCCTTCTCTTCGCTAGACTAGCCCTGCCCAGTTCCTGCAACCGTTCATCGTATGTTTTAGTCTCCAGTCCCCTAATCATCTTGGTTGCTCTTCTCTGCATTTTTTCTAGAGTCTCAACATCTTTTTTATAGTGTGGTGACCAAAACTGGATGCAGTACACTAGGTGAGGTCTTACTAGGGCTTTATAGAGTGGTATTAGTACCTCCCTTGATCTTCACTGTATCCCTCTGTTAATGCAATTTAGGATTGCATTGGCTTTTTTGGCTGCCGCTGGACACTGCTGGCTCATATTTAGCTGGTTGTCCACTAAGACTCCAAGATCCCTCTCACAGTCACTGCTATTAAGCCTGGTTTCACCCAGTTTATATGTGTACTTTGTGTTTTTCTTACCTAAGTGTCAAACTTTACTTTTCTCTACATTGAATTTCATTTTGTTAGATTGGGCCCAGTGTTCAAGTCTGTTGAGATCCATCTGGATCTTGAGCCTGTCTTCTAGGGTGCTGGCTATTCCTGCCAGCTTAGTATCATCTGCAAATTTGGTAAGTTCTGTAAGAGCTGGTTTTGTAAAATAGGAGATGTTCGTACGGAAGGGAGTTACCGAGCGGTGAGTTGGGATTCAAAGCTAAGTCTTTCAGATGTCCTCAATTTAACAATCACAACTGAGCCCAAGATTTCCGGGGCTAAGCAAGGCAGCGAGTGTTAAGCAAGTTTCACCTCGTTTTGCGACCATTCTTGTCACGTTTCTTAAGCAAATGACTGCACTTCAGTTACTAACACAGTTGTTGAGCGAATCGGGCTTCCCCGTTGACTTTGCTTGCCAGAAGATCGCAAAAGGGGATCTCGTGATCTTTGGACACAGCAGTGGTCATCAGTCTGAATCAGTTGCCAAGCATCTGCAAGAGCCCGGAGCTAAAGTTGTTCCCTGCGCAGCATAAAATCCCATACCTATTCAGTTGCATCTTATGAAATCCTTTAGCCCTTTGCAGAAAGGGGCAGTGATAATGCTGGTCTGGACAGAACAGGACAGGACAGGACAGGACAGGGAAATAGAGGATAGGAAGAGGAAGAGGAAGAGGAGAGGAGAGGAGAGGAGAGGAGAGAAGAGAAGAGAAGAGAAGAGAAGAGAGGAGAGGAGAGGAGAGAAGAGAAGAGAAGAGAAGAGAAGAGAAGAGAAGAGAAGAGAAGGTAATAGAAGAATTTTTTATTGGCCAAGTGTGATTGGACACATAAGGAATTTGTCTTTGGTGTATAAGCTCAGTGTACATAAAATATATTCATCAAGAATCATAAGATACAACACTTAAGTGATAGTCATAGAATAGTAAATAAACAATCAAATCATAGTAGAAAATTAAATAAAACAATATAAATAGTAAAGATACAAGCAACAAGGTTGTAGTCATAAGTGGGAGGAGATAGGTAATAGGAAGGAGGAGAATAATAGTAATATGGTCTTAGTAGATAGTTCGACAGTGTTGATCTCTCTCTCTCTTTCTTCAGGAAGAAGAATTTAAATGGCTTTTAGGAGAGGAAGTTCACTCCGTCCTTCGTCAGCTGCAAGAGATCCTGAAGGTGCTTACAAACAAAATTTTTATGTGGATCATGTGGCCTTTTCCTTCCAGTTTTGCTGTTTTAATCCAGGTAGTCCTCGATTTACAACCACCATTGAGCCCAACATTCACCTTGCTAAGGGAGAAGTTTATTAAGAGAGTTTTGCCACCATTTTACGACTTTTTTCACCGGGGCGGTGAAGCGAACCACTGCTGCTGTTAAGTTAGCCACTTAAGGTCGTTAAGTGAATCCGGCTTCCCCCATTGGACTCTGTTTGTCAGAAGGTCGCAAAAAAGGGATCGCACGGACACAGCAGCCGTCATAAATACGAACCCGTCGTCAAGCATCTGAATGTAAAGACGAATGACCCTGGGGTGGGCTGCAAAGGTCGTTAAGTGTGACAAGCGGTCGTGCGTCACTTTTTTTCAGTGCCGCTGTAACTTTGAACGGTCACTAAATGAGCTGGCGTAAGTCGAGGACTGCCTGTGGTCATTTCCAAGGCTTCTTTTGGGAGGGCTTTTCATTTGCTATGGCCTTGGCTTGTTGATCGCTGAAACGATGTGCAGCTGTTCAGATCCGATCTAGGTGTGCTCCTGGTGTACTTAAAAAGTCAAAGTCGCACATATGTGCTAGTCATTCCCGACTCTAGGGGGCAGTGCTCATCTCCGTTTCAAAGCCGAAAGCTGGTCCTTTGCTGTTTCCAGGGTGGCCCTGTGGGCCAGATCTAAGAACCCCTGGAGCCGGAGCCGCCGCCCCCCACCCCCCCGAGCCTTGAGTTTCACACCCTGTTCTGCCCCAGCTACGGACCCCAAAGAACGCAGCATACACAAAGTCTGTACAAACCTTAGTTTACTAAATTAAATCAGTTTTTTTCCCCAAACAAAGGCTGTTAATTAACTTTAACAGCCTACAAGAATCCAAAGAATAAATAATCGTAATCTTACTATGGTTGGCAGAAAGCCCAGAAGCAATTTGCAGAGAACTAAGATCCAGACGCGAAGGAGAGTGAACGAAGTTGTTCCCTGCAAATTGCTTCAGTCGGTGTTCCTCCTTAAATAGGCTAAGCGGGAGTGGCCAATTAGCCCCAAGCCTTACTCTCAAGGAGACCTCCTCCTGAGGAGCCACTCCTGCCTTTTGGCATCTCTGCGCACCCGTGCATTGAGAAGAGGCTCCTCCTCTTCTTCCTCTTCACTTAAAGGAGCTTCTGGAGGTTCTGAAGGCCCTGGCTGAATCCCCTCCTCTGGCACCAACTCTTCTCCAGCCTCCTCATTGTCCGATTTGAGTGCCAGCTGCACAGGCTGCTGGCGCAGCACCACACCAGCCTCCTTGCTGTCCGAATCAGCCAGCAGGCCACGTACGGCCCACAACACACCCTGCTCTACAGCATCCTGAAAATAATTAGGAAAAAAGGTGCTTTGGAGCTCACAAAAGTAGCTCATTGCCTGCTGCCCTTTACGAATCGTTCCTTAGGATGCCGCGACCGCCCATTACAGCTGCCACATCATCCTGGGAAAAAAACTCTAAAAGAGTCCTAACGAAGCTATGGTTTTGATCTTGCCTGCTTTGAAGCTGGACTCTTTTTTTTTTCCCCCTCCTTCCTTTGCCCGCTGCGTCGTGTCCGCGGGGGGGGGGGATGGGGGGGGTGAAATTATTTGGCTGGAATTTCTAAGCAGATTCCAAATGATTTATTCAGTGTATTGATCTGGCGGGTCTAGAGAACGCATCTTGAATGCGTGAGTTGAATTTAACTCGGCAGCGGTGAAAAGCTGCGGATTGCGAATGGAAGCGAGGGCTGGAATGGATGGTTTGCATCCTTGGCTTTGTGGGGGGGTTTTTTTGCTTTCACTCTCTTTTGATTCAGGGAAAAGAACTATTCAGAGCTGCTAATGCAGGGATGGCTAACCTTTTTGTTGTCGCGTGCCGAAAGCTGCTACCCCCATAATGCAATGCGGCCGTGACCCCCACGCCATGCCCCCTGCGCATGTGCACGTAACAACTCTGTGCGTACGAGCACACACAGACACACACACCCGTGCTCTCCCCGTGCCCCATTTTGGGCCTAGTAGGCCTCCTTGCAGCCTCCTGGGAGCAAAAACAGGCCGCGGGGGTGCACTGCACCAGTGGTGGGTTCTGCCCGGTTCTGCCAAGCTGGTAACGGTGACGATATGACGTTACCGAACCGGTTCTACCCCCCCTGCATTATTCTTACCTTTTATTTGGCCCCACCCCCAATCTATTCGCTGCCTCCCAAGTCCCAGCTGATCAGCTAGAAGGAAATAAACTGTTTAAACTCTTGCGGGGGGGGGGGGCTTCAAAGGGCCGCCCTACAGCTGATCAGTATTAAAAGGCAGTGTGGTGGTAGACTGGAGCCTCCCAAAACAAATGAGTAAACCAATCCCTCCCAAAACAAATGGGTAGACCGGTGCCTGCAAAAAAAATGAGTAGACCGGTACAGCTCTGTAAGCAGTTAAAAGCCTGGTAGACCAGTACCTCTGCTAAATCCTAAATAATTGTCACATGACCATCAAGCCACGCCCACAAAATAAGCCATGCCCACAGAACCGGTAGTAAAAAAAAATTAGAACCCATCCCTGCACTGCACCTCCCCGCACCTCGTTTTGGGCCTAATAAGCCTCCCTGCACTTATAACCCATAATACAATGAGTCCCCTCCTTCGCATGCGCCTCGTCCTCCGGCAGAGACCCGAAAATCAGATGGCTGGCGGGAGGCTCGCACGCATGCAGGTTGGAGCTGAGCTGGGGCGACAGCTTGCATGCCCACAGAGAGGGCTCACGCGTGCCACCGGTTCGCCATCACAGTACTAATACTCTGTCGCTGATCCTCTTCCTTCCCTTCTTTCACCCAGGAGGCTTCTCACCGCTTTAATCTGCCAGCCAGCAGCACAGAAGGGCCTATAAAACAGGAAAACTTTATCCTGGGGAGTTCCAAGTAAGTATTGGATTTTATGGAGTGACCAATTTTTTTCACAGCAGGCAAGAAGGAGACGACATGAAGCGGGCCTAGCCAAGTACAGCCAGCCAGGAGGGGAAGGAAATTTAGGGACACTTTCCCATACCGTCCCCTCCCTGCTGTACCCTGAAATTATTTGCAAAAATTGGGCTAAGCAGCATTCTCTGGGCTGGGAGCAACCATTCTTATGAACCACGGTGGCGCAGTGCTTAATGTGCAGTACTGCAGGCTACTTCTGACTGCCAGCTGCCTGCAATTTGGCAGTTCGAATCTCACCAGGCCCAAGGTTGACTCAGCCGTCCATCCTTCTGAGGTGGGTAAAATGAGGACTCAGATTGTTGGGGGCAATAGGCTGACTCTGCAAGGCACTTAGAGAGGGCTGTAAAGCACTGTGAAGAGGTATATAAGTCTTAAGTGCTCTTGCTGATTAACTCTGATGGAGCAGTGGTTAAATGAAGCATTGCAGGCAAACTCTGCCCACTGCCAGGAGTTCGATCCTGAAATTCAGCTGGTTCTGACAGGTTCTGGAGAACCGGTAACAGAAATTTTTGAGTAGTTTGGAGAACTGGCAAATACCACCTCTGGCTGGTCCCAGAGTGGGGTGGGAATGGGGATTTGCAGTATCCTTCCCCCAGGAGTGGGGAGGGAATGGAGATTTTGCAATATCCTTCCCCCCTGGAGTGGGGTGGGAATGGAGATTTTGCAGTGTCCTTCCTGCAGGAGTGGGGTGGGAATGGAGATTTTGCAATATCCTTCCTGCAGGAGTGGGGTGGGAATGGAGATTTTGCAATATCCTTCCCTCAGGAGTGGGGAGGGAATGGAGATTTTGCAATATCCTTCTCCTGGTGTAGGGTGGGAATGGAGATTTGCAGTATCCTTCCCCCAGGAGTGGGGTGGAATGGAGATTTGCAGTATCCTTCCCCCAGGAGGGGGGTGGGAATGGAGATTTTACAGTATCCTTCCCCTGGAGTGGGGTGGGAATGGAGATTTTGCAGTATCCTTCCCCAGGAGTGGGGTGGGAATGGAGAGATTTTACAGTATCCTTCCCCTGGAGTGGGGTGGGAATGGAGATTTGCAGTATCCTTCCCCCAGGAGTGGGGTGGGAATGGAGATTTTACAGTATCCTTCCCCTGGAGTGGGGTGGGAATGGAGATTTGCAGTATCCTTCCCCAGGAGTGGGGTGGGAATGGAGATTTTACAGTATCCTTCCCTGGAGTGGGGTGGGAATGGAGATTTGCAGTATCCTTCCCCCAGGAGTGGGGTGGGAATGGAGATTTTACAGTATCCTTCCCCTGGAGTGGGGTGGGAATGGAGATTTTGCAGTATCCTTCCCCTGCCACGCCAACTAAGCCACGCCACGCCACACCCACAGAACAGGTAGTAAAACAATTTGGATTTCACCACTGGCTGCAGGAGGCTGTCACAGCTGAAAACGGAGTCTGGGAGGGCCACGTGCAGCCCTCACAAGCTCTGTTTTTGCTGGCAGAGGCACCGTGGGCCAGATCTAAGCGCCCTGTGGGCCTATCTCAAGAGCTCACCGAGCTACCATTGCTAAATCAGTTTGACCCTACTTGGATGAGAGCCACCCTATCTGTATCTGATCTACCATTGGTGCCCCCCCAAAGCTGGCTGAAACCAGACACTCCCGATCTCTCCAAGTGGCTTAGAAGGGCATTTTGGAACATAAAACATAGAATATAGAATGATAGAGTTGGAAGGAGCCTCGGAGGTCTTCTCATCCAACCTTCTGCTCGAGCAGGAGACCCTCTATCCCAGGGATCTCCAAACTCGGCAATTTTAAGATTTATGGACTTCAACTCCCAGAATTCCTGAGCCAGCCTCGTTTCGGACAAATGGTTGTCCAGTCTCCAGTGATGGAGCCACCCACAACTTCTGGAAGCAAGTTCATTCCACTGGTTCATTGCTTTCCCCATTAGGAAATTTCTCCTTAGTTCTTGGTTGCTTCACCCCTTGGTTAGTTCCCATTTGTTGCTTCTCATCTTGCCTTTCAGTGCTTTGGAAAATAGTCTGACCCTCTCATCTTTATAGAAGCCCCTCAAATATTGGAACAGTGCAATCGTGCGAAGGCTTGTGTGCAAGGCAAGGGACGGTGGGATTAATTTTGCCCCATTAATGCCCTGTCTTTATTTCAGTGTCGACCAAGTGAAAGGAGTCCTAACTCTCCAGGGAGATGCTTTGTGTCAAGCGGTGAGTTCAATGCAGGCTTTCATGTTGGGAAAAGAGAGAGAGAGAGAGAGAGAGAAGAGGGGGGAGGGAGGGAGAGGGAAAACCAGAGAGAAATAGAGAGAGAGAATGAAGCAGGTAGGTAGGTAGGTAGGTAGATACACACACACACATATATATAGAGAGAGAGAGAAACAGAATGAACCAGACAGATAAATAGAAACACAGAGAGAGAGAGACGGTGGGGAGGGAGAGGGAAAAACAGAGAGAGAAACACACAGAATGAAACAGGTAGGTAGGTAGATAAGTAGGTAGGTAGATAGATACAGAGAGAGAGAGAAACAGAATGAAACAGATAGATAGAAATACAGAGAGAGAGAGAGAAGAGGGGGGAGGGAGAGGGAAAACCAGAGAAACAGAGAATGAAACAGGTAGGTACAGTAGGTAGGTAGGTAGGTAGACAGATAGATACACACACATAGAGAGATAGAAACAGAATGAAACAGATAGAAACATACAGAGAGAGAGAGAGAAGAGGGGGAAGGGAGAGGGAAAACCAGAGAGAGAGAGAAACAGAGAGAATGAAACAGGTAGGTAGATAGATACATACTCCACATAAAAAGAAACAGAGTGAAACAGATAGACAGAAACACATAGAGACGAGGGGGGGAGGGAGAGGGAAAAACAGAATGAAACAGGTAGATGGATGGATGGATCAATGGATGGATAGATACACACATAGAGAGATAGAAACAGAATGAAACAGATAGACAGACAGATAGAAACACACACACGCACAGAGAGAGAGAGAGAGAGAGAGAGAGAGAAAAGTTATTGAATCTTTTATCTCTCATCTCTTGACTGGCAACAGATCTCTGGGGAACTCAGGTCCTGGCTTGGTCAGAAGGATCAGCTGAACAACTCTTGGCCTCTTTTGTTTACCCCAAGCTTGTTGTTGGTTTTTTTTTTTCCCCACCCCAAAAGAACAAGAGGCGCCACCTTGCAAACGCAGCTCAAGAAATATTTCCAGCGTTCTTTGCTTGATAATCCAGCACCCTCACCGTCCTTTTATTTTCTTCGTTTCGTTTTGTTTGTCAAGTTTGGGGGTTTAATTTCCCCTGCTAGAAATTAGATGGGAAGGAAAATGTTTGCTGAATCTGAATTCTGGAAGGAAGCTGGTGTGATCTGACAGGTTTCTGTGCGTCTTTTCCCCCTCCTCTCCCTTTTAACAGGACATTAACTTGAAAATGCCCAGAAATAACCAGCTGGTTCATTTTGCCTTCCGGGATGACAAACAGTGGAAACTCCAGCAAGTATGTTTCATGTCTTGGTCTTCGATGGATCTCTCTTCCTTTTTAAAGGAATTGGGAGGGGAGGGCTGTCTTAGTTTTGGGGGAATAAAAACCAAGAGAAAAGAGAACAGGTGAACTTCCCACATTCCAAGCGTCCAAGAATTTTCCAAATTACTCTTACTCTTTCCCCTCAGGGCTTTTTCAACTCCTTTACCCAAAACCTAAATTCTTTGATATGTTTTTTTTTTTAGTTAGTTAGTTAGCTTTATTGATTAGTAAAGGTAAAAGTTCCCCTCGCACATATGTGCTAGTCGTTCTGGACTCTAGGGGGCAGTGCTCATCTCTGTTTCAAAGTCGAAGAGCCAGTGCTGTCCGAAGACGTCTCCGTGGTCATGTGGCCGGCATGACTCAATGCCAAAGGCGCACGGAATGCTGTTACCTTCCCACCAAAGGTGGTCCCTATTTTTCTACTTGCATTTTTTTAGGTGCTTTCGAACTACTAGGTTGGCAGAAGTTGGGACAAGTAACGGGAGCTCACCCAGTTAGCCGGCATTAGGGATTCGAACCGCTGAACTGTCAACCTTTTGATCGACAAACTCAGCGTCCTAGCCACTGAGCCACTGCATCCCTCCTTGATTAGCCAATATAGGCCATATCAAAGCACAAGGTGCAAACACCTATCACCAATAAAATCTTATACAAACAATTTAAAATAAAAGTAGGGTAAAATACAATAGTTATAGGATAAGATACAATATAATTTAATACATAAATATATAAAATAGAATAAAACGACATAAATTATATTTCGGTGTCACCCTTACCATCTACCCCAATCAGTCCCACGTATGCAGATCTCAACCGAACCATTTTGTTTAAGTCCTGGGCTGTGTTAATTGTTATTTTCAGGTTCTGGCCACACATAAAGTAAGTTGTTGTGATATGGGGATCCCAATGGGTCATTCGTTTGGTATATGGACCAAGGTACCCGTCTCTCACCCCCTTATACAAACCCCAAGCTGCGGAGATGGAAGTCTGCATTTGAAATATTGCATCGATGAAAAAGTAGATCAAAATTTGGCTAGTTGTGGGAACCGCAGATTTTTAGACTTCTCTCTAGTTAAAGAAACTACAGAGACCTCAGGCGTGAAGGGAAATGTTGACACAACACCTCTCCGTTTGTTATCCTGTACATAAGAGAGCTGTTGACTTGCTTTCAAATCAGCCAGAAGGCAGCTGTATCCTGCTGCAGTGGCCTCTAACCTCATTCAAACTTGCCTGTTATTGGTTGGGAATGCTTAAGGTTTGGAGAAATTTATCCTGGTCAGAAGGGTGCAGTTTTGGACCTGGGAAAATATCACAGGTAAGCTTTCAACTTAACAGCCACAACTGGGACTCAATCATTTGTTGTTAAACAATATGGTAGTTCAGAGAAGCATCCTGTGATTTGCAACCTTCCCTGCTAGATTCCCCATTGACTTCGTGTCAGCTTCGGAAGCCATATTAGCACCGGAAGCTTCCAAGCTGCCGCCACCTTTTGTGTGGGGAAGTAGGAGGGGGGAGGGATTTAGTAAAGGGAATGTAAGACCAGTGATTCTCAACCTTCCTAATGCCGCGACCCTTTAATACAGTTCCTCATGTTGTGGTGACCCCCATCCATAAAATTATTCCTAAGACCATTGAAAATATGTGTTTTCCAATGGTCTTAGGCGACCCCTATGAAAGGGTCGTTCAACCCCCAAAGGGGTCGCGACCCACAGGTTGAGAACCACTGAGTTAGACAAACTCAGTGGTGTAGGAGGCTAATGCCTCCTACTAAGGCAGCATTTAACATCCAGCTGCCTGCAATTACTGCGAGTTCAATTCTCACCAGGCTCAAGGTCGACTCAGCCTTCCATCCTTTCTAAGGTGGGTACAATGAGGATCCGGTTTGTGGGGGCAATAAGCTGACTTTGTATAAAATAAACAAAAGTATGAAGGCTATTGCTTAACGCATTGTAAGCCGCCCTGAGTCTTCGGAGAAGGGTGGCATATAAAAATAATTTTTTTAAAAAATAGCATTCTTCTTTTTGGTCAAGGTCATGGCCATCCTGCATCTGGAGAAGGAGTGGTTGGAGCGATGTCTCGATATGGGACGGATGGTGATTGGGCCATGTGATGGGACTGATGGGTGCAGGGGATGGATTTGGGGGTTTTTGATTTACTGAGGGAAAACCCCGAACTCTCAGATTTTGGTTTTCCCAGATGTGCCGGTATACCTACTCTAATAAATGGAACTTTGAGAAGAAGCCTGTCTCGGAGTTTTTAATTGGAGTTGGGTTTTTCTGGAACGTTGACATTAACCCGAATCTGAGAGTTTGGGGTTTTCCCTAGTATATCAAAAACCCCAAATCCATCCCTGTACACATCAGTCCCATCACACAGCCCAATCACCATCCGTCCCATATCGAGACATCGCTCCAACCACTCCTTCTCCAGATGCAGGACTGCCATGACCTTGACCGAAAAGAAGAATGCTATTCGCTTGTTGGAAGCCAGCTGGGAAGGTTGCAAATAGAGAACACAAACACACACACACACTCACTCACACTCACTCACACTCACATCCGGTCATGCTGCAAACATAAATGCAATCTGGTTGCCAAATCTCTGGATCGTGATCATGGGGTCTGTAAGTGCAAGGACTAAGTCGTAACTCACTTTTTCTCCCCAGTGTCCTTGCAATAACTTCAGAAGGTTGCTCAGTGAACGTTCCTAACTCAAGGACTCCCCGTTTAGAACATACTTCAAGAGCGGTTAAGTTTAGAATCCAGACAAGAGAGAGAAGGGCTTGGAATCCTCCTTTCTCTCCGGGTTCAATACATTTGTTAGTCCTGCTTTTTCCACTCTCCTGAATGATGAGGTCAAAAATCCAGATCTTTTTAAGGATTAAGATTAACAAAGTTGGAAGAGACTTTGTAGGTCATCTAGTCCAACCCCCCGCCCAAGCAGGAGACAGTACACCCTTTCTGACAGATGGCAGTCCAGTCTCTTCTTGAAAGCTTCCAGTGATGAAGCTCCCACAGCTTCCGAAGGCGACTTCTGTTCCATCGGTTGATAGTTCTCACTCTCAGGAAATTTCTCCTTATTTGTAGGTTGAATCTCTCCTTGATCAGTTTCCATCTATTATTCCTTGTCTGGCCTTCGGATGCCTTGGAAAATAGCTTGACTCCCCGTCCTCTCTGTGGCAGCCCCTCAAATATATATATATATTTATATATATAAATAAAGCCCCTCAAATATATATATATATATATATTTCCATGTTTCTCATCTATGATATCAAAGGAAAGAGTAAAAACCCTTTCCTTATTGGCCGTGATTTTGATCAAGAAACACCAAATGAGTCTCCTAGACCAGGGGCCTCCAACCTTGGCAACTTTTAAGACTTGTGCGACTTCAACTCCCAGAGTTCTTCAACTGGCTGAGGAATTCTGGGAGTTGAAGTCCACAAGTCTTAAAAGGTTGCCAAGGTTGGAGGCCCCTGTCCTAGACTGAATCTGGGCCATCCTGTGCTTTGTCCCTGTGTATGTGTGAGTGAGTGTTCTGAGCTAGGCTTCCCCAAACCACGAAGCAGAATCCTTGTCCCGACAAAAACTCCTTTTATTGAATTTACAGTGAATTCCTCTCTAGCAAACTCTTTCCTCCCCCACAGTCTTTCAAGAAAGTTCGCCATTACCGACCTTTATCAGGCTTGGAGATTGGCCAGGCCGATATCTTTCAGACGCCGCAATACTTGGCAAGAATGCAGGAATGAACTAATTGTCTCTTGCAAACTCCACTCCCCTTTCGCTCCTCTTTTATTCCCTCTGGGAGGGGCCATTCATCGTCCACCTGCGGCCTTACTCCCAAGTCGACCCTTGTTCCTTAGCTGTTCCCTTCGTCTGGAAACTCTGCGCAGGCACACACTGGGAACAGGCTCCAGCTGTTTGTCTGCCCCACTGATGTCCGACTCTGAAGGCAGCTGACAACTGTTAGACGGCCCTGGCCCTCTCTCTGCCTCAGACACAGAGCTCTCATCAGAGCCTTCCCCAGACTCCAGGACTGCCCCATGTCCCTTCCCAACCTCCTCACTGTCTGAATCTGCTGTCAGATGAGCTGGCCGCTGGTGAGAGAGAGGGGTGCGTGTGTTTGTCTCTTATCTGACTTTGGTTTCTTTTTCAGATCCAGGATGCAAGGAACCATGTCAACCAAGCGGTCTACCTGCTTACCAACCGGAGCACCAATTACCAGTTCAAGACAGGTTCCGAGGTTCTCAAGGTGAGCCAAGGATTCTGCTTCCGAGCTTTCAACCAGACCAAACCAGACAACGTTTGAGCAGTTCCAAACCCCAAATTTCTGACACACGATCCTCGACCTATGACCGTAATTAAGGCCAGCAATTACAGTTGTAAGTCATGGCAGTCGTTAAACGGGTTGTCACCAGATTGACATGATTTTAGACTTCCTTTTTTTTTGGTGTCGGTTGTTAAATGAATCACCATGGTCGTTTTAGCAAACCCACGGTTCGCTAGGGGTGGGTTTTGTCCGAAACCAAAACTAAATGCCGGTTTTCGGCAAAAAACCCTGTTTCCCTCCCTCCCTCGTCTTTTAACTATAATTTTACCTTAACTGGAATTTCTACTTTTATTCTTTTAAAGATACCTATTCGTTATTTATTGATTTTAACTTATTAATGCTGTGGTAGCTGCCCAGAATGGCTTCATTTACAAGATGGGCAGCAGATAAATTCATTAAATGAATTTTAAAATGTTGTAAATCCTAGTCACGTGACCACGGGATGTTTTTAATTATTGTTAACATGCTTTAATGTTTAATTGATAGAACTTATTCTTTTCACCCACTGTGGCCATGACTGTTAGCTGTGGAACTTTCTAATTTCTAAAAATGGTTAAATGACCAAATCCACATGGAATAGAAATAGAATAGAATAGAATAGAATAGAAATAGAATAGAATAGAATAGAATAGAATAGAAAAGAATAGAATAGAATAGAATAGAATAGAATAGAATAGAATAGAATAGTGGAATTGGGATCGTAGAAGCACCCAGGAGCATAGAAGAGTTCAGAGGCAGATGCATAAATAAATGTCTTAAACGTATTTATTCATATGATAAAGCATTTTAACTATGTACAACAGAGATCAAGTCTCATGAGGAACAAACATGAAAAGAGAGAGATGGAGAGAGCGAGCAAGGTGGAAAAGGTTGGAGGAGGGTAAGCCCCTCCTTTCCACATAGGGGTGGAGATACTCTCTGCCTCCACTGGTGTCTATATGACACATGTGCCAATGGCTTGCAAACACTTGACTGGACTGGACTGGACTGGACTGGACTAGACTAGACTAGACTAGACTAGACTAGACTAGACTAGACTAGAACTAGACTAGACTAGACTAGACTAGACTAGACTAGACTAGACTAGACTAGACTAGACTAGACTAGAATAGAATAGAATAGAATAGAATAGAATAGAATAGAATAGAATAGAATAGAACAGAATGAAATTAGGAAAGAATAGAATAGAATAGAATAGAATAGAATAGAATAGAATAGAATAGAATAGAATAGAATGAAATTAGGAAAGAATAGAATAGAATAGAATAGAATAGAATAGAATAGAATAGAATAGAACAGAACAGAACAGAACAGAACAAAACAGAACAGAATAGAATTTTTTTAATGGCCAAGTGTGATTGGACACACAAGGAATTTGTCTTTGGTGCAGATGCGCTCAGTGTACATAAAAAGACAAGATACTGTATTTTTCGGACTACAAGATGCACCGGAGTATAAGACGCACCTACCTTTTGGGGGGGAGGAAAACAAGAAAAAAAAGGAGGCTTTTAAGAAGAAGACTGGACAGCCACTTTTACTGGAATTGGTAGAGGGTCTCCTGCTTGAGCAAAGGGTTGGACTAGAAGCCCTCCAAGGCCCCTTCCATCTCTGATATTCTGCTAATTGTCTTGTGGAGTTGATTTCCTTGTCTGGAAAGGAGGGGGGGAGGCTAACAGCAACCCCATTCCCAGATCAACCTAAGCAAGACTCTATGCTGTTTTTTTGTCTTCTTCTTCTTCTCCGCCCCAGCTGATGGATGCTGTGATGCTGCAGCTGACACGAGCACGGAATCGGCTGACCACTCCGGCCACTCTGAGCTTGCCAGAGATCGCCAGCAGTGGACTCACGGTAACATTGGGGGGACGGGGGGTGGGGGCAGGTGAACCTTTAGAGCAGGGGTCTCAAACTCAATTTCATTGAGGGCCGCATCAGGGTTGTGTTTGACCTCAGGGGCCGTGGGAGGCATGGCCAGCTCGGCATCACTTGTGTCGGGGGCGCCTGTGGTGGCCAAGTGCTAAGGCAGGACTTCCCCCAGACGCTCCCTCTGATTATAACCTCCCTCCCTCCCTCCTTCCTTCCTTCCTTCCTTTTTCCTTCCTTCCTCCCTCCTTCCTTCCTTTTCCTCCCCTCTTCATTCTCCTTTCTTCCTTCCCCTATTTCTTTCCCTTCCTTCCTGCCTCCCTCCCACCTTCCATCCTTCCAAGGTGGGTAAAATGAGGACCCAGATTGTTGGGGGCAATATTCTGATTCTGTAAACTGCTTAGAGAGGGCTGTAAAAGCACTGTGAAGCAGTATATAAGTCTAAGTGCTATTGCTCTTCCTTCCTTCCTTCCTTCCTTCCTTCCTTCCTTCCTTCCTTCCTTCCTTGCCTTCTCATTTTCCTCCCTTCCTTCCTCATTTTGCTTGCTTGCTTGCTTGCTTGCTTGCTTGCTTGCTTGCTTCCTTCCTTGCTTCCTTCCTTCCTTCCTTCCTTCCTTCCTTCCTTCCTTCCCTCTTCATCCTCCTTTTTCCTTCCTTCCACTCTTTCCTTCATTTTCCTTCTTTGCTCTCTTCCCATCTTCCCATCTTTTCCTTTCTCCTTTCCTTCCCCTTCTTGCACGCTCAAATGCAAAAGGGGAAACATTTCTCCTTTTGTTTTGATTATAGTTTGTTTTGCTAGCCCTCTGCCAGCAAAAACAGAGCCGGGGGAGGGGGCATGCCTGCAGCCCCCCACCCCCGGAGCTCCGTTTTCGCTGGCAGAGGCACTGCGGGCCGGTCCTTCGCTGTTTCCAGGGCCAGTTCTAAGCACCTCACAGGCCAGATCCGGGGCCCCACCGGGCCTTGAGTTTTACACCCCTCCTTTAGAGTGTGAGAAAACTGATAATTCAGACTGCTGGCTGAAGTATATTAATACGCTGGGTTTGTCCACTTTCTTTCTCCCCAGAAAATGTTCACTCCATCTCTGCCTCCAGACATCCTGATCAATTTCTACATCAACCTAAATAAGGTCTGCTTAACGGTCTACCAGTTGCATCCTTTGCAGCCCAGTTCCACAAAGGTACGGAAGCAGATACCCTCCTCAGCACTTGGCTATTAAAGGTAGTCCTATGCTTAACAGTCATTCGTTTCGTGACCATTCGAAGTTTACGGCGGCCCTGGAAAAAAGAACACCCTAGGATCGTTTTTCCCACACTTAACGACCATGGTCACGCGGTCAAAATTCGGATGCTTGTGGCAACGGGTTCAGATTTATGATGGTCGCATTGTATCCCCTTCCCCCGGGATCGTGTGATTTCCCCTTTCGTCACCTTCTGACGAGCAGAGTCAATGGGGGAAGTCAGATTCACTTTAACTGCCGTGGCAAGAAAGGTCGTTAAAACGGGACAAAACTCCCTTAACGGCCGCCTCACTTACCAACAGAAATTTCGAGTTCAATTGTGGTTGTAAGTCGAGGGCTCTCTCTCTCTCTCTCTCTCTCTCTCACACACACACACACACACAGAGTGACTAAACTCTAGGGGGGAGCTTCTGGGTTTGGTGTGTCTTCAAAAAAGGGACCATTGATTCTTAAAACCAGACTGAGAAACCAACATCATCCAACCTAGAAGTAAGGAGAAACATTCGGAGAGTGAGGATAATTAACCAGTGGAGTAACTTGCCTCCTGGAATTGTTTTTTAGAATAGAATAGAGCTGGAAGAGACCTTGGAGGTCTTCTAGTCCAACCCCAAGCAGGAGACCCTATACAATTACAGATAGATGACTGTCCTCTCCTCTCCTCTCCTCTCCTCTCCTCTCCTCTCCTCTCCTCTCCTTCCCTTCATTTCCCTTCCCTTCATCTTTTTCCTTTCCTTTCCTTTCCTTTCCTTCCCTTTCCTTTCCTTCCCTTCCCTTCCCTTCCCTTCCTTTCCCTTCCCTTCATCTCTTTTTCTTTTCCTTTCTTTTCCCTTTCTTCCTAACCTTCCCTTCCCTTCGTTTCCTTTCCTTTCCTCCTTCCCTTCTTTTCCTTTCCTTTCCTTTCCTTTCTTTCCTTTTCCTTTCTTCCTTCCCTTCTTTTCCCTTCTTTTCCCTTCCCTTCCTTTCCTTTCCTTTCCTTCCCTTCATCTTTTTCTTTTCCTTTCTTTTCCTTTCTTTTCCTTTCTTTTCCTTTCCTTTCCTTTCCTTTCCTTTTCCTTTTCCTTTTCCTTTCTTCCTTCCCTTCGTTTCCTTTTCCTTTCTTCCTTCCCTTTTCCTTTCCTTTCCTCTCCTCTCCTCTCCCTCTCCCTCTCCCTCTCCCTCTCCCCTCCTCTTCCTCCAGTGATAGAGCACCCACAACTTCTGAAGGCAAGACGTTCCACTGGTTAATTGTTCTCACTGTCAGGAAGTTTCTCCTAAACTCCAGGTTGCTTCTCTCCTTGGTTAGTTTCCATCCATCGATTCTTGTCCTGTCCTCCGGTGCTTTGGAGAATAAGTTGACCCCCCTCAATTTATATGGACTTGTGAGTCCTCCATTGCTGGAGGTTTTCAAAAATAGACTGGACAACCATTTGACTGGGATGGTACAAGGTCTCCTGCCTTGACCATGGGGGTGGGTGGGGGTGGGAGGGGCTGGACTAGAAGACCTCCAAGCTCCCTTCCAGCCCTATCATTCTATATTCTAACGTCATATAAGTTAGGACTCCTTTGGTTGTAACAGCTGCGGTAACATAATCTTGCAGATCTGAATGTATTTCCCTCCCTGTCTTTATCTTCATGTGAACTAGTAAGATGTTTATCTGAAATGTTTTCTCAAGATACTTTCTCTGGTCCAAACCCCTCTTATCTAGCTGTTGCCTTGGTAACGGCTTTTCTTCCTGTCCTTCGAGGCCTCTTCCTTCTGCCCTTTATACAAGAAGGGGCCCATTTTATGACGTTTCAGCAATGTTAACCTTGGTCAAAAATAACCTGTGGTTAAAAGAACCTTTCCAGAAGCAGTTACACAATTTTGTTATATGTCCCATATCAACCTTGCGTTGCAGAATGTTGTGAAATATTTATTTATTGGTTCGATTTATATGCCGCCCTTCTCTGGAGACTCAGGGCGGCTTACAATGCGTTAAGCAATAGCCTTCATACTTTTGTATATACCTGCTTAGTAGGGCTTTCGCCCCCCCCCCAAGCGGTGTTCTTTTTTATACAAAGTCAGCTTATTGCCCCCACAATCCGGGTCCTCATTTTACCTACCTCAAAAGGACGGAAGGCTGAGTCAACCTTGAGCCTGGTGAGATTCGAACTTGCAGTAATTGCAGGCAGCTGGTGTCACTTAACACCACTTTAATCTTCAGCGCCACCAAGGCTCTATTATAAATATGGTTAACCAATCTCTGATTAGTTAGTTTGTGGTCTCTGGCTCTTTTAAGAAATAAGAAACGGTAACACAGATAAGGACTGAATTAAAATGCCAAAAAAAACACACTAAATACTCTGTTTGTTCGGACTGACATAAAATAGATGTGCAACCAAAAGAGGTTATTAACAAGGTTCAGAGAGTTTTCATTTATTTAAAAAAAAAAAAAACAACAGCATAAATTTCCATCAATAAGCCATCACACAAGAGGGGAGATTTTATCAGTGTTATTCTGGAAGTAGGTACAGTCTGTCCTACTCTCTAAAAAAAACAGGGACCAAAGGCTTTAACGTTCCTTTTTTATCATCCGTTGAGTGTCCCAAAGTTGCTTTTCCAAAAAGGCAACTGGATTTTTTTCTTGGTGATTGTTTTTTTTCCTTGTTCCTCGTCCAAGATGTTTCTTCAGTTCTCAACCTCGTTTCTTCTACTTCCTGTTGCTAAAATGGGAAGAATGATGGCACGTTGGGGCGGGGGAAGGCTGCATATCACCAGTTTTGCCCAATCAGCCAAACCTTCTACATCGGAGCGATGTAACAGTGAAGGTTTTGATCTGGCACAGAGGAAAAGGTAAAAGGTTCCCCTTGTACATATGTACTAGTCGTTCCCAACTCTAGGGGGCAGGTGCTCATCTCCGTTTCAAAGCCAAAGAGCCAGCGCTGTCCAAAGATGTCTCCGTGGTCATGTGGCCGGCATGACTCAACACCAAAGGTGCACGGAACGCTGTTACCTTCCCACCAAAGGTGGTCCCTATTTTTCTACTTGCATTTTTTTACGTGCTTTCGAACTGCTAGGTTGGCAGAAGCTGGGACAAGTGACAGGAGCTCACCCCCTTACACAGCACTAGGGATTCGAACCGCTGAACTGCCGACCTTTCGATCAAGAAGCTCAGCGTCTTTGCCCCTTAGTCTTGTTCTAATCCCTGCTCAACCAGAGAAGCTCCCTGGATGAAATGGCAGATGAGAATGACGTCGAGGGAATGGCGGAAGGGATGAGATGCTGCCTTAGGGAACAGTCAGATAAGAGCGGGCCTAGCCTGCAGCTGCATAACAGGCAGAGAAAGATACACAAAAACAGAGACAACCTCTCCAAATTACCGGGCTGTAAAAAGAGACTGTTGGAAAAAATGTCCTTCTGGGTTCAGTTACAAGCGGAGAAAAAAAGACACTGGAAACATGGAGAATGCTTGGAAAGATGGTTTTTAATGGTGGACAGGATCAAATGCCTTGAAGATGTTGGGTGAAGAAAAAAAGGGGAGAGATGCTGAGAGTGCCTGAGTTTTATGCCCTCTCTGGGCATGAAGGGTGCTTTGGGCACTTCCTATTATGGCTTTGTCCTGGTTTGGATCTGGAGTGTGCGCTCATGTCCTGAGGGTGCGTCTTTTGTGTTGTAGATAAGCTGGCCCAGCCTTTGTCTTGTAGATAAGTTGGCACCAAAATATCTGCTGGGGAGAGCGGGGGTGGGGGGGCAGGAAGCCGAGGCTCTATGTCTTTAGAAACATGTTTCTCCTTTAGGGAAAATACAATATTCTGCCTTTTTAATATTTCCTCGAATATTTCATTTTCCTAGGAGAGGGGTGGGTGCTAACTTCCTGCAAGACAGTGAGAGATTTGGTGCATTCATAGCTCTCAAACTTGCAAGATTTTGTTAACGTAGCTGTACAGTAAAGCTGAATTAACACATCTGTCTTAACATCTGTTTCCTGTCTGGTTTTCTTGGAAAGGCTGACACTGGATGACTCTTCAGGGACGACTCTCCCTCCCATTGGCTACTCCCTCTATTTCACAAGATTGCTGTTTTTGGGTGGGTGGGGAGGAACGGAGGAGGGGGAGAACTGGGAAAGCCAGAAGTAGCAAGAACAATAGCGTGGGGCTATGCCCAGGATCTGCATTAAGCAACCTAAGTGAGCGATAGTTCCCCAGATGGTTATCGAGATTCTTAGTCATCCAGGTTTTGGTTGTCCCAAAGGTGCTTTTTTTCCCAAGAGGTAACTGGATTCTCTGGTTTTTTTCTTTTGAAGGCGTTTCGCTTCTCATCCAAGAAGCTTCTTCAGCTCTGACTGGATGGTGGGGAGTGGAAGGATTCATCCAGTCAGAGCTGAAGAAGCTTCTTACAGATTACAAATGACAGATTAACAGAGTTGGAAGGGACCTTGTAGGTCATCTAGTCCAACCCCCTCCCCAAGCAGGAGACTCTATACCCTTGACGGCAAACCTATGGCACGCGTACCACAGGTGGCACACGGAGCCATATTGGTGGGCACGCAAGCGTTGCCCTAGCTCAGCTCCAGCATACATGCATGCACTGCAGTGGTGGGCTCCTCCCGGTTCGGTCCGGTTCGGCCGAGCCGGTAGCGGTGACGATATGACGTCACCAAACCAGTTATCCCCCCTGCCCCCCAATCTATTTCCCCCCACATTATTCTTACCTTTTATTTGGTCCCACCCCCAATCTATTGCTGCCTCCTGAGTCCCAGCTGATGACTAGAGGGAAAAAAAACTGTTTAAACTCTTGCCGCGGGGCTTCAAAGGGCCACCCTACAGCTGATCAGTGTTAAAAGCAAACAAATGAGTTGGGTCGTAAGTGCGAGGACTGGTCGTAAGTGCAAGGACCTTCCAGAAATGACTGACCAGCTAGCCACGCCCACCTAGTCACATGACCTCCAAGCCACACCCACAAAATAAGCCACACCCACAGAACCGGTAGTAAAAAAAATTAGAACCCACCCCTGGTGCACTGGCCAGCTGATTTTTGGGCCTTCTGGGCCCACCGGAAGTCAGCAAATGGGCTGTTTCTGGCCTCCAGAGGGCCTCCGGGGAATGGGGAAGGCTGTTTTTGCCCTCCTCAGGCTCTTAGAAAGCCTCTGGAGACTGGGGAGGGCAAAAAACGGGCCTATCGGGCCCACCGTGCCATCACCGTGCCACCGCGTCCCTTCTAGCTCAGATGGACACCTCCCTAATTCGCAGAAGTATAAGAAGGACGAGAAGATACAACATGATCAAATGTGCAAGATTCTGTGATTGTAGCCAGTCGCAATAAAAAGCAGTCTTGGGGCTGACAACAGCGTCACCTAGGCAGGATCTCCATGCAAAAACCGAATCCCTAGAAATGGGATTCTTTTGATTTGATTTGGTTTTTTTCAGAACTTCCGGCCAGCTGGAGGGTCCATCCTGCATAACCCTGGGGCCATGTTGTAAGTACCACAGCACCTTCTGGAGGGCTTGCCTTGGGGGCAGAAAGCAGATCTTTTCTCTCTGTGTTGCGTCACCGAAAGCAGAAGCCCCCCCCCTCTCTCTCTCTCTCCTTCCGCAGCGAGTACAGTAACCAAAGATACGAAGTCAGCCACGTGCACAAGGTGGAGTGTGTGGTACCCTGGCTGAACGATGCCCTCGTTTTCTTCACCGTCTCCCTGCAGCTTTGCCAGCAGCTCAAGGATAAGGTGAGGTCAACGGGGAGAACGTTGTTTTTAACAGATTATCAGAGTTGGAAGAGATTTTGTAGGTCATCTAGTCCGATCCTCTCCCCTGCCCAACCAGGAGACCCTACACCCGTGATGGCAAACCTCTGGCACGCGTGCCACAGGTGGCACACAGAGCCCTCTGCGGGCACGCCAGCCGTCGCCCCAGCCCAGCTCTACTGCACATGTGCGCGAACCTCCTGCCGGCCAGCTAGTCTTCGGATCTCTGCTGAGCATTCACGGGGGTCAGGGCCAGAGGTGAAATCCAGGAGGTTCTGACAGGTTCTGGAGAACCGGTAGCGGAAAGTTTGAGTAGTTTGGAGAACCAGCAAATACCACCTCTGGCGGGTCCCAGAGTGGGGTGGGAATGGAGAGTTTGCAGGATCCTTCCCCCAGGAGTGGGGAGGGAATGAGGATTTTGCAGTATCCTTCCCCTGGAGTGGGGTGGGAATGGGGATTTTGCAATATCCTTCCCCTGGAATGGGGAGGGAATGGAGATTTTGCAGTATCTTTCCCCTGGAGTGGGGTGTGGGAATGGAGATTTTACAGTATCTTTTCCCCAGGAGTGAGGAGGGAATGGGGATTTTGCAGTATCCTTCCCCTGGGGTGGGGTGGGAATGGAGATTTTGCAGTATCTTTCCCCCAGGAGTGGGGAGGGGAATGGAGATTTTGCAGTATCTTTCCCCCAGGAGTGGGGAGGGAATGGAGATTTTGCAGTATCTTTCCCCTGGAGTGGGGTGGGAATGGAGATTTTACAGTATCTTTTCCCCAGGAGTGAGGAGGGAATGGGGATTTTGCAGTATCCTTCCCCTGGTGAGGAGGGAATGGGGATTTTGCAGTATCCTTCCCCTGGGGTGGGGAGGGAATGGGTATTTTGCAGTATCCTTCCCCTGGAGTGGGGAGGGAATGGGGATTTTGCAGTATCCTTCCCCTGGGGTGGGGAGGGAATGGAGATTTTGCAGTATCCTTCCCCCAGGATTGGGTGGGAATGGAGATTTTGCAGTATCCTTCCCCTGCCATGCAAACCAAGCCACGCCACGCCCACAGAATAGGTAGTAAAAAAATTTAATGTCACCACTGGGTGGGGCGCATGCATTGGGGGGGGCAGTTTGGTGCAGAAGGCTTTCCAGGCCCAAAATGGGGTATGGGGAGGGGGGCTTCGCATAGCGCCCCGCGCCCTGTTTTGGGCCTGGAAAGCCTCCTGCACCAACCTGGAAGCCAAAACGTGGGGTGGGGGGGGCGCATGAGCGGGATGGGGGCCCTCACATTGCGTTTGAGGGATATTGTGTCTTTCCCCAATATACCATTACAAGGTATGGTCAAAAAAAGTCCAGATGTTGGCTGGGTTCGTGTGATCACCCAATCTGTATGCACGCATGCACGCGCGCGCACACACACACACACTGACACACACACAGAGCTTTGGTTGCCCCAGGCAGCCTTAATTGTGACTTTGTTGACGAAACCCCGCAGACCCCTCTGTGTAAAGCAATGCCATATAATTATAAATTATAAATTTATATATTATAAATTTACATATTATATATATTATATATCAAAAGTATAAATGATAAAAAAGAACTTCAGAAAAAATAATGGCTACCCACCTGCCTTCCATTGAGGATCTGTATACTGCACAAGTCAAAAAAAGGGCTGTGAAAGTATCTATAGACCCCTCGCATCCTGGACATAAATTGTTTCAACTCCTACCCTCAAAACGAGGCTGCAGAGCACTGCACACCAGAACAACTAGACACAAGAACAGTTTACTCCCGAACGCCATCACTCTGCTTAACAACTAATTCCCTCAACACTGTCAAACTAGTTACTAAGTCTGCATTACTATTAATCTTCTCATCGTTCCTATCACCCATCTCCTCCCACTTATGACTATATGACTGTAAATTTGTTGCTGGTATCCTTACGATTTATATTGACCGTTTCCTAATACGATTTGATTGCTTATTTGTTCCCTATGACTTTCATTAAGTGTTGTACCTTATGATTCTTGATGTACTTTTTATGTACACTGAGAGCATCTGCACCAAAGACAAATTCCTCGTGTGTCCAATCACATTTGGCCAATAAAGAACTTCTATTCTATTCTATTCTATTCTATTCTATTCTATTCTATTCTATTCTATTCTATTCTATTCTATTCTATTCTATTCTATTCCTATTCCTATTCCTATTCCTATTCCTATTCCTATTCCTTATTCTATTCCTTATTCTATTCTATTCTATTCTATTCTATTCTATTCTATTCTATTCTATTCTATTCTATTCTATTCTATTCTATTCTATATTCCATTCCATTCCATTCCATTCCATTCCATTCCATTCTATAATTATAAAAAATATAATTGCAAAGTAAGAGGCCATTGTCTTATCTTACCATCCAAGCTCTCCAGTTATCAGTCCCTTCCATAACACTGTTGATTAAAATGCGCAGAAATATACGAAAATTGTGCTGGGGGAAAAAGCGGGGGATGCTGCATTTTAGGCAATTTGGCCTGCATTTGTGACATCTCCAGTGCCACAGTGCAGAGGAACAAGAGATTCCCCTTTTGACCCATTCAGAAAAAATCAAGGTTCTTTGCGTAAAAACAAGGCAGTACTTCCTTTTTTGGGAAATGTCGGTTGAGGATTCGTTTCCCGTTACAGATTTGACTCTGCTGGAGAACTGGAGCTAACTACCTATTGCCCGACAACTTTTGATCTCCTTTATGTATTCTTCTTTTCCTCAGATTGCTGTGTTTTCCGGCTACTGGAACTACCAGCCCTATTGATCTTCCCGCAGAGAGTGATCCGGTCAGTTTCAGGCCACTCCCTTCCCGTGAAGGTCTCATGATATAAACTCTCACCTGCAAAGAACATCCAGATTCTGCCACTCCATGGGCAGTAGTAGCTGATGGGCAGGAGGCAATGCCCGCCATTGGCATCTTTGTATTCAGAATGTCATTATTTATTAGCACTTTAGAAGTAACGTTCATTTCTTTCCGTGGGCATCAAAATTAGGCTGAGCCAATAAACAACTGATCAAACTGTGCCCCATTTGCGGGGTGGGGGGGGGGGGAGTGGTTACAAACAAGAGTGGGGATGAAGAGCAGCCTTTGCTGAACCTGCTTTGGGCTCGTCTCAGAAAGGCCAAGTATGGGGTGGGTCCAGGGGTGAAATCTACTTACCTTCCCTACCAGTTCGGAAATGCGCGCGCAGAGGGTCAAAAATGGGTTACTTCCTGATTAAAACCAGGAAGTAACGACATCTGGGCAGGTGGGCGGAGCCTCGCACTGCCGTCGCTACCAGTTCGCCGAACCACGCAGCGCTCGCGCGAGACGGACAAAACTGGCAGGATTTCACCACTGGGTGGGTCACACCTTATTCCTTTCTTGGCAAATCCTTGTCATTTTTTGGGTTTCCTTCTCCCTCGTGCCTGCCCCTTCTCTAGCCTTTTGCACCATAGTGACGGTTCCCTTGCATAATGTCGTCTTTTTGAAAAGCGTTAAGGGACAGCTGGGTTTTGGTGGTAGTTCCCCCCCCCCCCTATTTTGTAGAAGCAGATAGACAACTGCTGCTTCATCGGGTCTTCCAGAGAATCTTCGCTGGCCACCAAACAGTAGAAAAAGTCCAAGGTGGCCTCGGTAACAAAGTTAGTTGCTGCTACACATAACGTGAATTCCAATCCGTGCTCCTAATATTGTGTGTGGAATAAACCTCCCTGATTATCGTGCTTCGTGGCTTGGTGTTTTGGGAGGAGAACCTTTGACACAGGATTTTGGGAATATGGGAGAGGTGATGGGACATGCATGAGAGATGGACAAAATGGAATGAATTTCTGTTCGCTCCAGAATGGCTAAATTCGGCCTTCGGCCAAAATGACCCAGATGTCCATTTTGTACACAAAAAAGGATTCTTTATCCAAGCCAGTTGGTGTTTTTTTTAATCTTGTGCAAAAAAAAAGCAGATTTTCCCCGCCCTCTGTTGGGTCTGTTAAATTTTGGGTGGAAGGGGAACTTCAAAACAAAACTCCTTTTAAACTTCAGTCACTTATACAGCCATCTAAATTTATTCAGCAACTCTACACAACAAGAGGTTCACAGTAATCAGCGATTACATTTTACATTGAAAATTAGGACATCGATCTTGGAAAAGTAACAAATCTGGGATATTAGAACAAGAAGGTATAAATCAGCGGGGTTCCAACCTTGGCAACTGTTTAAGACTTGCGGACTTCAACTCCCAGAATTCCCCAGCCATCCATGCTGGCTGGGGAATTCTGGGAGTTGAAATCCACAAGTCTTAAAGTTGCCAAAGTTGGATACCCCTTGGTACAAAGCATCCTGAACTGATAAAAAACATTTTCAGTAATACAAAAAGGATAATGCTATACGAAGGTGGTACAAGATCTGGGCTGTTCCTATAGAAAAATACAATTTAGGACAATTAAAACAGGTCAAGCATTGATATGAGTTATTGGTTCTTGATGGGAATAAGAAGTAAACACATTGTGATTGACGCTCCATTTTTATAGCGCATGCTAACAAACCCAACGGGTAGACCAACAAGATAGGAGTTTGCGAAAGAGGATGATCATTGTTCACGAACTACCCTGTTTCCCCAAAAATAAGACATCCCCTGATAATAAGACCAATCGGGCTTTTGAGCGCATCCGCTAAAATAAGCCTCCCCCCGAAAATAAGCCCTCCCCGAAAATATTTAAACGCAGAGCTGGAAATCAGGTAAGACGGCAAGAGGAGCCCCATCTTGCTCCACGCGCCCCAAAATAATAAGACCTTCCCGAAAATAAGGCCAAGCGCTTATTTCGGGGTTCAAAAAAAATATAAGACAGGGTCTTATTTTCAGGGAAAACACGGTACTTATTTAGTTAGCCCTTTCCTTGTTACTAATGATCAGAAGCAGCTGATAGTTGGCAACAGTGAGAACGAATTTTTCGCCCCAGCTTATGGAGGACGGACATGGACTAAGAATCATCTTTTGAGCATCTAAGCCTCTAGAGGGCTCACCTGTCTCACAGTTCCTCCCAGAAGAAATCTGATTTCTTACAATAAATTCCAGCACAGCAGAGGAAAATCAGTAAAGCCAGGTGCTCAGGCAATTGGTCATATGGAATCTAATGCTCCATGCCCATATTATCAATACCAACTTTTCTTTTCTTGACCTGTAATGAAAGAGAGTAATGTTTTAGAGCAGGGGTGTCAAATATCACAGCCCAGATACGTCACACGATGGCCACCCCCATCCCCATTTTAGCGAAGGGGGGAAGGAAATAGTGATATGTCACGTGGTGACAATGTGAGTTAGACAGTCCTGGTTTAGAATATCAGAAAAAAAGCATTATATGCAGTGGTGAAATTCAATTTTTTTTACTACCCCTTCTGTGGGCGTGGCTTGGTGGGTGTTGTGTGGCTTGGTGGGCGTTGCAGGGGAAGGATATTGCAAAATCTCCATTCCCACCCCACTCCTGGAGGAAGGATATTGCAAAATCTCCATTCCCACCACACTCCAGGGGAAGGATACTGCAAAATCCCCATTCCCTCCCACTCCTGGGGGAAAGATATTGCAAAATCTCCATTCCCACCACACTCCAGGGGAAGGATACTGCAAAATCCCCATTCCCTCCCCACTCAAGCCAACCAGAGCTGGTATTTGCTGGTTCTCCGAACTCAAAATTCCCGCTACTGGTTCTCCAGAACCTGCTGAATTTCACCCCTGATTATATGACAAAAGGTAAATTTGTCCAACAGGAATTGTATTTATTCACTCCTAGGCTAAACCACAATTCGATTCCAGAATTGGTAGCTAAATTTTGCTGAAACAGAAAAAGGCAACTTAAGTTTGTCCTCCACAATAGTTAAGATTTTGTTCCCAAGGGTCTTCTAACTGTCACTGTCGGGTCGATGTTGAAGCTGTGCTGTATCCTAGACTTCTGTCTGAAATTTTTACCCTTTTGTATGGAGAAAAAAAAGAGGACTACACATATCATTGTTTTAAATTTGCATGCTACCCATGTCACCATCCAAAGCAACTTAGGATGCAAATACAGGGGGATGAAGTTATGGCAAAGTTTTTACAAGCAAGAGTCACAAACTCAAGAAATGATGCCTTCTGAACAGGGGTGAAATTCAACAGGTTCTGGAGAACCGGTTGCGGAAATTTGGAGTAGTTCGGAGAACCTGCAAATACCACCTCTGGCTGGCCCCAGAGTGGGGTGGAAATGGAGATTTTGCAATATCCTTTCCCCCAGGAGTGGTGAGGGAATGGGGATTTTGCAGTCTCCTTCCCATGCCACGCCCACCAAGCCACACCCACAGAACCCATAGTAAAAAAAAAATTGAATCTCACCACTGCTTCTGAAAGTTGGGTTCTCGCAGGATCCTGGCATTGGAAAGGATGATTTAGGTCTACATTTTCATTGCTGCTGAGTACAACAGTGTTAATTCAAGCATCTCTGATGGACCAATAGTCCAACTTCTGCCTGAACACACACAGTGAAGGAGGACTTCCTGTTGTGTGTGTGAGAGAGAGAGAGGGAAGGAGGGAGAGAGAGAAACATGACCTTGAAGCTGCTTACCTTCTTATATGAACTAGGAGTATCACAGCAGCAACATCGGATCAACGCAAGGATGCCCAGCAAGAGAACCATCCCTGGTATGGGGATAAAAAAAATGGGTCAGTCTCTAAATTTATGACCAATCCGAAACCAGGATGATTTTGCTCCATCCTGGCTTCCGTTACCCAGAACATAGAATAACAGGGTTCGAACGAACCTTGGGTGTGTTCTAATCCAACCCCCTGCCTATCAAGAGGTTACCCTATCCTGTTCCGGACAAATGGCTGCCCAGTCTCTTCTTAAAGCCTCCAGTGATGGAGCATCGACAACTTCTGAAGGCAACTCCTGTACCTTCTGGTTAACTGTCCTCACTGTCAGGAAATTTCTCCTTTTCTTCTAGATTGAATCTCTTTTATCATAACCTTCCACCAATTGCTTCTTGTCCTGCTTTCTGGTACTTTGCACAGTAAGTTCATAATACAGATACTTTGTAGGGACCTTGTAGATTATTTAGTCCAACCCACCCACCCCACCCCACCCAAGCAGGAGACCCTACACCTTTTCTGACTGATGGCAGTCCAGTCTCTTCTAGAAAGCCTCCAGTGATGAAGCTTCCACAACTTCTGAAGGCAACTTCTCTTCCATGGGTTGATTGCTCTCACTGTCAGAAAATTCCTCATTTCTAGGTTGAATCTCTCCTTGTTCAGTTTCCATCCATTGTTCCTTGTCTGGCCTTCAGGTGCTTTGGAAAATAGCTTGACCCCCTTTCTCCTCTCTGTGGCAGCCCCTCAAATATTGGAAGACTGCTATCATGTCTCCCCTGGTCCTTCTCTTCACTAGACTAGCCAGGCCCAGTTCCTGCAACCATTCATTGTATGTTTTAGCCTTCAGTCCCCTATTCATCCTGGTTGCTCTTCTCTGCACTCTTTATCTAGAGTCTCAACATGCTGAAGATGTTGCTTCAGTTGACCCCCCCTTTTCTCTGTGACAGCCCCTCAGATATTGGAAGACTGCTATAATGTCACCTATAGCCTCTTCACTAAACCAGACATACGTAGACAAAGAAGCTATAGATGTTGAGATACTGCTGAAGGATGCAGGCCAAACAGTATGCTTTATGGGCAGTGCGTAGAATAGTAGAAAACTTGGAGTTTCCATGGGATCTTTCTCTTCCATTGATGCACCTTGTGCCTGTTTGGCTCCATCAAGCTAATTTGTGACCTCGTTGCTCTTGCTTCTTCCTAAATCTCTGCTTACACTTTTGGGGGGGGGTGCCATCCAGAGGTGGTATTCAGCAGGTTCTGACCAGTTCTGGAGAACCAGTAGCGGAAATTACAGTATCCTTCCCCCTGGAGTGGGGTGGGAATGGAGATTTTACAGTATCCTTCCCCCTGGAGTGGGGTGGGAATGGAAATTTTACAGTATCCTTCCCCCTGGAGTGGGGTGGGAATGGAAATTTTACAGTATCCTTCCCCTGCCACGCCCACCAAACCACGCCCACAGAACCGGTAGTAAAAAAAATTTGAATCCCACCACCGGTGCCATGTTTCTTCTGAGCACTCAAGCCCCACCCAACCCGTTTGCGCCGCGCAGGCCCACCTCAAATAAGCCTCCCCAGAAGCAGCGTGGCTGCCCACCCGAACTCTTCCTCTCCTCCCCTCCGCCTACCCATGAAGGTGAAGAAGATGGCAAAAGCGACGATATCCCAGGTGGTTTGGAAGAGATGCTTGCTTTGCAGGCGTCCCAGAGCATCGTTGATCTGCTGGCTGATGTCTTCAGCAACATTTCTGTCCAGAGTCACCATCTCGTCCCTCCACGCAACTGTGGCGATTCCGTCTGAGCTGCCGAGAGTGGAAAACAGATTATCAACATAACTGCCCTTCTGCGAATCACGGGAAAGCATTCAAGTTCAATCATTCACGCGTGATGAAAGGTTGTTATAAGACTGGAAGGATGGTGGGGGGGAAGGAGGATCAGGCTACATCTGAATGGAGAGAGCCAACTTCACGTGAAAGAATTTATGCTTGCCACCGTCTTAGAATACAGAATAACAGAACTGGAAGGGGTCTTTTTTTTTATTATTATTTGATTTATATGCCGCCCTTCTCCGGAGATTCAGGGCAGCTTACAATGCGTTAAGCAATAGCCTTCATATTTTTGTATATTTATACAAAGTCAGCTTATTGCCCCCACAAACCGGGTCCTCATTTTACCTACCTTAGAAAGGATGGAAGGCTGAGTCAACCTTGAGCCTGGCGGGATTCGATCTTACTTTAATTGCAGACAGGTGGAGTTAAATTACAGAGCTCTGTCTGTTGAGCTATCCAGGCTCCTCCTCTTGGAGTTTAGAATAGAATGGAGAAAGAGTTAGAATAGAATAGAGCTGGAAGGGACCATGGAGGTCTTCTAGTCCAACAAGGAGAACCTATACCATCCCAGACAAGTGACTGTCCAGTCTCTTCTTAAAAACCTTCAGCGCCCACAATTTCTGGTGGCAAGCCATTCCACCGGTTAATTGTCCTCGCTGTCAGGAAATTTCTCCTTAGATCTAGGTTGCTTCTCTCCTTGATTAATTTCCAACTATTGTTTCTTGTCCTGCCCTCTGGTGCTTTGGAGGTCTTCTAGCCCAACCCCCTGCTCAAACAGTAGACTCTATACCCATGATGGTGAACCTATGGCACATGTGCCACAGGTAGCACGCAGGAGCCATGTCGCCTGGCACGCCAGCTCAGCTCTCAGCCTCTCTAGGAGTCTCTGAAGGCTGGGGACAGCAAAAAATGTCACTTCCTGTCCAACTGAAAATTGGAAAATGAATCGTTTTGGGCCTCTGGAGGGGCTCCGAGGGGATGGGGAAGGCTGTTTTCGCCCTCCCCAGATGCATAGAGAGGATCTGGAGCCAGGTGAGGAAGAAAAACGGGCCTACTGAGCCATCACGTACCAGGAGTGGGGGGGGGGAGGGGGGTCGCGTGCGCATGTGCGGGGCAAGGCGCATAGAATTTTGGGTGTGGGTACACGCGCATGCGAACCTCCCCCGCCCCTCCTCTCCTGGCATGTGATGGCAAAAAAGTTAGCCATCACTGCCCTATACCATTCCAGAGAAGGGGTTGTTCAATCTCCTCTTAAAAAACCTCCAGTGATGGAGCATTCACATCTTCTAGAAGTAAGACATTCCACTGATTTATTATTCTCACTGTCAGGAAATTTCTCCTTGGTTCTAGGTTGGATCTCTCCTTGATCAATTCCCACCAGTTACTTCTTCTCCTGTTCTCAGGTGCTTTGGAGAGCAGGTTGACCCCCCCCCACCCCGTCTTCTCTGTGTCGGCCCCTGAAGTGCTGGAAGACACTATCATGTCCCTTCTAATCGCACCATCCTTTCCCCAAGTTTTCAGTTCCTCCTGCATCCCTCATACCTGCAGATTCCTCCTTTAAAAACCAAACAAACCTTCAAAACGAACGACCCACATTCATTCCTCAAGTTCCCTTTACCTTTTTAATCCCAGGGGCTGCAATGGATTCCCCTTTGTCCCCCAGAGCTTAAAAACTCCCAATGCCTGGCGAAGAAGTAGAGGGGAAAGTTTCCTTGGAGAAGGAGAGCTCCGAGGAAGTTGGGGAAAAAAAGCAAAGTTGAAAAAGACTTGGAGATGATGCCTTGCAAAAGAAAACGAAAAGAAAGGAATGAATTAAACAACTACCCACCACTCACAATTCCTGGGAAATCTTGGTTGAAAACAAAATAATAATCTGCAACTCTTTCTAGGACTATTTTTCCGTGGTGCCTATGGTGATAGGTTCTTCTCTCTCTCTTCTTTTTGTTTTCACTTCCTTGTTCCTGTTTCTGCTTAAAGAGGAGGTTGATTTACAACAGAGCCCAAGGTAGACACACCCTCTTCTCTTAGCCTAGGATAAGAGAGAGAGAAAAGAGGCAGGTCTAAAGGTGACTTCTAATCAGAGTAGCTTACTCTTCCTTATATAGAAAGTTAGCACCCACCCCTCTCCTAGAAGAATGAAACGTTTTGGGAAATATTATAAAAGGCAGAATATTTTATTTCCCTAAAAGAGAAACATAAGCCTAAGACTGAAAATCAAGCTTGTCAGATGCTGCATCTTTTCTCTCCTGCTGTACGGAAGGGAGAGTTGGTCTCTAACAAAAAGCCACTTGAAGAGACTAGAAGCATTTGAAATGTGGATTTACAGGCGGCTGTTATGTATAAGTTGGGTTAGTAAAGTCACAAATGAGGAGGTGATAAGCCGCCTCGGAAAGCCAAGGGAAATCATCATCACCATCATCATCATCATCATAACAATAGTTGAAAAGAAAAAAGTATGGTTCATTGACATTGCAATACCTGGTGATGCACGGATTGAAGATAAGCAGCAAGAAAAAAATCACAAAGTACCGGGACTTGCAAATTGAAGTTGAGCGACTGTGGAAAAAGAAATCATGTGTTGTCCCAATTGTAATTGGAGCCCTTGGAGCAATACCCAAAGGGCTACCCCGCTATTTAGAAATTCTAAATTTACCGGACTTGTACATTTTGACTACAAAAAACCACCTTACTCGGAACAGCTTACATCCTCTGACGATACCTTAACAGTTCCATAGCTGCTGAGCTATTAACCAGCCTCAAAGGCTGTGAATCTCACTAAAGATTAACCAATAATAATAATAATAATAACAAAAACAACAATAATAATTGTTATAATAATTATAATAATTTTTATAATAATTATTATAATTTTATTATAATTATAATTTTAGGACATAATAGGATTAACCCACGACCATTTAGCAAAAAACACAAACTCCTTCATTGCACAAACACCCCCCCCCCCGAAGAGTTCAAACTTCAAAGTCACAGAAACCTATAAAGATCTGTAGGAAGTTAGCACCCACACCTCTCCTAGAAGAATGAAATATTCTAGAAAATATTCAAAAGGCAAGATATTATACCTCCCTGGATGAGAAAAGGAGAAACATACTCTTGGAAAGCAGCCTCTCCCCCCCCCCCAATTTGCTAATAGCCCCAGAAAGACTGGTGCCAACCTATCTACAAGACAAAAGGCTGGGCCAGCTTATCTACAACACAAAAGATCTTCACCCTCAGGACATAATAGGATTAGCCCTCTACCCATCTCACCACATGACACCTGAGAAGATTACATCACCCAGCAAAATTCAACCAAGCCTGGGACTCAAGACAACCTACAAAGTTACCCCTGCATGGCCCCATGGGAATCTGATAACCAATCAGGATACATTTCTTGCCACAGGAAGAGGAAGCAAGTTCTAAGGCCAACAAAGGGTATAAATCTCTCTCTCTCACACACACACCCATGTGCTTTTTTGCCCAGGACCTCAAACCATGTGGTCCTGTCCACCATTAAACCATCTTTCCAATCAGCCTCTATGTTTTCCCACTTGGAACTGAACCCAGATGGACATTTCTTCCAACAGATCCATCCACTCATTCAACCATTTGGTCAGCTGTCCCAGAACCACGTCCATTGCTGGTGGTTCTGCTTCATCAATAAACACAATCCTTCTTTCCAATCAGCCTCCATTTTGTTTCCAGCGTCTTTCTCCCGGCTTGGAACTGAACCAGATGGATTTTTCTTCCAACAATGTTTTGCAAACTTGGCCACTTTAAGATGGACTTCAACCCCCGGGAATTCCCCAGCCAGCATTGTTGACTGGGAAATTCTAGAAGTTGAAGTCCACACATCTTTTAAAGTGGCCAAGTTTGGAAAACGGTGTTCCGGGAAACAATTAAGCTTCTATTTGCAAGTTATGCATTAGCTCATCCCAGCATGGCGCTGTAACAAATCCTGCCTGGCAAATGCATCTCCTTTGCATTTCCAAAGAGCTGCTTCTCATTTTCCTATTACAACAAAACAAAACATTGAAATTGCATGTGAAACATTTTCATCCCAGTACAGTAAATGTGAGAATCAGGGAAAAAAAATGTAGGTTTGATTATTGGAACATCCAGCAGAGGGCGATGTTGCAATATTTATCATGCAAAGAGATTCTTTGCCTCTTTTACGGGTAGTTCAGATTAACAGAGTTGGAAGGGATCTTGTAGGTCATTTAATCCAACCTCACATCCACACCCAATACATACTGCATCAAATCACGTCTTGTTTAATAGGGCAGACTGCAAGGGATAGGTAGGGAATCAGTACTTACTGGTGTTTGTTTCTAGATCTAGCAGTTTATTTTATTTTTTAAAAAATAGTTTTTACTGAATATTTTACATTTTTAAAACCAAAATCATAATAGAAAAAGACAAAAAATGAAAAAAGAAAAAAAGAAGAAGAGAAGATACACATACACCAAATGGTAAAATACAAAACATAAACAACAACATTACATAATATATTACAACTTTCTGCATCGACAATTATCTTTACTTTTAAATTCAATCTTCCTAATCATTCTTATTCCTGTACTGTATAATCATATTGAGTGTTCTTATAGACTAAATTGATATATATATACTTACATCCTATTTATTAACATAGTCAAAATTTTATCCTTACCAGTATTCAATACTCTTAGATTCCAGTTAATCAAATTTCAAGTTACATTCTTATTTCTTGTTTTGATTTCTATTTTCTAGCACGTATAGAATCTATTCCACACCTTATAGTAGTCCGAATCATCTCTTTCTTTAATCTCCATTGTCATTTTATCCATTTCAGCACATTCGAGGATCTTCTTAATGACTAGTTCTTCGGGTGGTGTATTGATCTGTATCCACATTTGCGCCAGAGCAATTCTGGCTGCCGTTAGTATATGCAATGTTATGTAATACAAACAGTTTATTTTATTTATTTAGTTAGTTAGTTAGTTTGTCAAACATGTATGAGATAACAGGAATAAGTATAAACATGGATATGAATACAGGAAATGGGTACGAATAAATGGGGATAGTAGGACAGGGACGGAAGGCACGCTGGTGTGCTTATGCACACCATATATTACAACCTCTTAGGAATGGGGTGAGGTCAACAGTAGACAGTTTAAGGTTAAAGTTATGGGGGTTTGGGGATGAAACCACAGAGTCAGGTAATGCATCTAGTCCAACTTCCCGCCCAAGCAGGAGAACCTACACCATTTCTGACAAATGGCAGTCCAATCTCTTCTTGGAAGCCTCCAGGGATGTTTTATAATCCAGTCTTCCACTGTAGGTGTAGGACATGAGCAGGCTGAGCCTGAAGGAGGGGTGAAAGGCGTCATCAGTCTCGAATCCATTTGTGCCCACAAGAGATTTAAATCCAGCCTGCCTTGAATTCCTTTTTTTTAAAAAAAGTTTTTTATTTTTTTAAACAAACAAACATTTAATACATCAGTCATTCCTTCCGTGTGACATCTTGGTCTTCTTTTTGTTATTTCTTCTGTCTTCGCTCTCCTCGAATCAATTACAACAATTCATCACTAACAAAATATTCCGATTATGGCATTTTTATATATAACTGTTAATTTACTTATTTGTATCTGTTTTCTAACCAATAGTAGAATTGATTCCATATCTTAAAGTATTCTGAATCTTCTCTTTCTTTAATCATCAAAGTCAATCTATTCATTTCTGCACAATCTAATTTTTTTTAAATTACTTCTCCTTCCAAAGGTATTTTCTCTGCTTTCCAGTGTTGTGCATAAACAATCCTTGCAGCCATTATTGCATGTATAATCAAATAAATATTTTCTTTGCTAATTTTTTCTGGCAGGATACCCAATGGGAACAATTCTGATTTTAAATCAATACGTTGTTGTATCATTTCTTCCAGCCATATCTTAATTGTATTCCAATAATTTTTTGCTTCTGGACATGTCCACCACATATGGGAATAAGAACCTGGTAACTGGTGACATTTCCAACATTTAGCTGATTTATCTTTAAACATTTTTGCCAGTTTCTCAGGGGGCATATGCAATCTACAGCCCGCCTTGAATTCCATTGACTCTTATCTACCATCAATTTGCTTGGACCATTAGTAGTTCAGATTCTTGTAGGGAACTTAAGCTTGCAATACATCTTTATACCACTTTGAACTGCCTGGACTTTCTGATTTTCCCTGATGCTTGATAGTAGACATTTCACGGCCTTTCCAACTTTCTGCAGGCAATTGTCTTGCCACATCAGAAGCAAGAAATTCTCAATACGCTACGAAGTAGTCCAAATATCAGCGTGGCGTGCACAGACAGAGGGGCTGCCAATCAGTTTCCTTGGCTCATCCCCAGTTTCCTTGCATTCATTTATTCTTCTTCATTCCTGATTTGCACCCAAAACATACATCTCGTTCTCAGAATGCCTAATTCTGATCTTAATTAAAATCAGCCAAATGTAGCCCACCCCCGAGCCATAGGCAATAGGTAATTAATGTTAAAACAGGGCTTTTTAAAGCGATACTATGCAAGGATACAGAGGGGGGAAAAAACTCCATTCCATGCATTTTCTCACGTTTTCTTCACAAAATCAAAATATGAATTTCTTCTCTTTCTTCTTCTTCTTCTTCTTCTTCTTCTTCTTCTTCTTCTTCTTCTTCTTCTTCTTCTTCTTTTCTTCTTCTTCTTCTTCCTTCTTCTTCTTCTTCTTCTCCTTCTCACCTTCTCCTTCTTCTTCTTCCATCCCCTCCACCTCCTCTTCCTTCTCCTTTT